GAGTTTACTGGCATTTGTTGAGAAGGCAATTCAAAATCCTGACTTTGTTGAGCGTCTTGCTCAGAAACTCGAGTCCATGGATATTTCTGCATTTAGTAAGAAGAGGCGATTGCCTCAAATCGACAGCACTCAACCAGTCCAAGAAAGTATGTCGGTGGACAACCATAGCAGTTCTAGAGTTGAGTTTGGGAACCTTTCCCATCAAGACTTTTCAAATAAGCTCAGGCTTGAATTGTCACCTGCTGTTTCAGATATCAATGTGCTTTCATGCAGCACCCAAAGTTCGAATGATGATGGCGGAAGCCCTGCACATAGGAGAATATCTGAAGGATGGTCCAGAGAAGTGCAACTTCGAACGGTAGGAGTAATTTATACCCCTGAAGCAATAGAACTATCAGATACAGGAACGTCTTTTACATTGAAGATGGATTCATCTCTACCTCGTGCTTCAAGCAATGTTGAAAGCTCAAGACTGCATCCCTTGCCACAAAGCCTGACATCTAACGAGGAAGTTGACGGTCACATTTCCTGCCAACTGAATCTTTCTTTGGCTTCATGTCTTTCACAAGTCGATAAAAATCAATATTCAGTGAGGATGCCTCAAATAGGTCAAGAGATAGGTAAACGTTTCGAATCACAGTCTGATGCCAATGACAAAATCCCTCCTACTGATGACAAATCTTTGCCACCTTCACATGATGCAACTGCCAACAAGCAAGTGCCTGCAGCTGCTCCTGTTCGAGTGAACGATGTCTTTTGGGAACAGTTCCTTACTGAAAGACCAGGCTGCTCGGATAACGAAGAGGCTAGCTCTAGCTACAAAGGGAACTCCTACGACGAGCAAGACGAGAGAAAATCAAATCAAGGAGTAGCTAGTAACACAAGAAAGGTGGAACACCTTACCCTTTGAGTTTATGAAGTTGTCATTGAAGGCACTTGAAACATTTCAGTCCTATACTGCATGGTTTGTAACTATCAATCTCTGTTAAAGCCTATTTTTTCCTGTTGTTGTTTTGGGATCATTATATGGCTTTGTATGTATACAAATAATATTATGATAAATATACTTCTGAGCAAATAAGATGTGTATTTGGTGATGAAATGTTGTTTGATTTTCTTGAGTGTCATATAAAGAATAAAGAACTCAAACTCCACTTTCAGCTCTGTAATCGATAAATAGTCATTATCACGGAGTTTCAAATTTCATAGGTCCTAGAGTATCAACTGTGAAATTTGAAACTCGACGATGATTATTTTTCAATTACAGAGGCTAAAAAGTGGTTATTCGCGAATTTTATCCATTTTTTCTTCCTTTCTCATTTGGTGTGCTAAAGGTTCTAAAGTTTCAAGCTAACTCAACAACCATATTGCCTACTATAATTATGATGTACTTGCCTTTCATTTTACCAAATAAATTGGAGATAATTTTTTTCTTTTTTTACAATTAAAGTCATATTCTTTGTATAATATGAACTCATTTATATAGGTCAATAGTTACTCCTTAGGCAAATAGAATTTTAATTAATTAAAGAGGATACTCACATCATACTCAATTTTAATTGCAACTTATAGACAATAATAATAGAGCCTTAGCCATTTAACCACTAAACCTAAAATAGCTATTCATTTTGCTTGAGATTTAAGTTTTTGGACCAATTCTCATCAAAGAAAAGGAAATGTTGGACCACAAATATGATATCCAAAAATAACTATAAATACAAAAAAAAAAAAGAAACCAAAGTTTTTAAATTATTCTCTTTTGGGTTTTCAAATTTTTGGTATTATTATATTTTATTAAGTTGTTAGGTTAATTTAAATAAGAAAAGAGTTTGTAGAAGGTATCGTTAAAACTGAAGATACTAAAAAGATATGATCACAACAATAAAACGGACATTTGTTAAAGGGACCTACCATTTTAAAGTTTCAAGCTAACTCGCAACCTACCAAAATTATGATTTATTACAAACTTCTTTTTACAGCTAAAGTTATATCCAATTTGGATGTCGCAGAATACAATAGAAATTCTTTAGAAACAATCACTCTACCTCTAGAGCGTATCTCCCTAGGAGCTCCCATTTATTTTCCTGTCTTAGAGACTCGAACTCATAACCGTAGAGTTAAAAGTGAGAGATGCTTACTATCGGATCAACTACTTCTTGTGAAACAGTTACTCGAGTCCGGAGCCTAAAGGGCAAAAAAAATTGTCAAAAATTCCAAAAGGGCACATCACTTTTTATTCTAGCCAAAAGGGCAAAATGACGAAATAGCAGCGATTTCGTCTAAAAAAAATTTTAATTTTTTTTAATTAAAAATCGCTGCTGTGGCAGCGATTTTGTAAAAAAAAATAAAATATATTTTTTATTAAAAATCGCTGCCACAGCAGCGATTTTGTTAAATTTGTTTTTATTATTATTATTAAAAATCGCTGCCATTGTAAAAAAAATAAAATTGTTGTGGCAGCGATTTTAAGTCTAGATTTTTTTTTTCCTTACACATCGCTGCAGGGGCAGCGTTTTTCATGCCGAGTGCTATTATTTTCATGCCTATTATTACTTATTAATAATATAAAAAATGATAAACAAGACGACAGTATACTCAATAAAATTGTTGAAGCATGAGGAAAATTGAATTATATATCATAAAAAATATGCAGCGATTTTTGTTTTTGTTTTGTCAGAAGCCCTTTTGGTTAATTTTTTTTTTGATGTGCCGTTTTAGTTTTTTTTTAAAGAAAAAGCAACGATCTTTAATTAAAAAAAATTACAAAATCGCAGCGATTTTTAATTAAATTTTTATTTTTTTTTACAAACAGCAGCGATTTTAAATAAAAAATAATTTTTTTTTTTTTTTTACAAAATCGCTACTGTGGCAGCGATTTTTAATTAATTTTTTTTTTTAGACGAAATCGCTGCTATTTCGTCATTTTGTCAGAGGAAAATCGCTGCTGACGCAGCGATTTTGCCCTTTTGGCTAGATAAAAAGTGATGTGCCCTTTTGGAATTTTTGACAATATTTTTTGCCTTTTAGACTCCGGACTCACAGTTACTCCCTAACTAGGCAAATTAAAGAGAATTTTAATTCATTTAAGAGGATATATGCTCATGAAATGGAAAAAAGGTCATGCTCATTTTTCATTGCAACCAATATAAATACATACAATTAATAATAGAACCTAATTAGACATTTAACCATCAAATCCAAAATAGCAATCTCAATTTGCTTGAGATTCAAGTTTTTGGACCACTAATCTTATCAATGAAAAGGTAATTAATATTGGACCACAAATTTGATAGTCCAAAAATAACCAAAAACATATTATTGGGGACGTTAGGTGAGTGGCGATAAAACAATGAATTTTAGATGTCACTTATGAAATTTATTATCCCTACTTTCATTAAAAAAAAAGTAAAGAGGTTGTTTCCGATTAGACATTGATGAAAATGAACAGAATAATCATTAGTGATTGAATTTTTTCTCTAATTTTCCCACATGAAAAATTAATCATATGTAAACAGCACACCCCAACCATTTAATGGATTTTCCAATAATGAACTTGATTGTGTACCAATAGTTACACACACCATGCAAAATGAATTGATAACAATTGAGACTAAAATAGTCCTTCAAAATGCACTAATTCGAACAGTTTTAGTCCTTTATATTTATCGAAATTAAGTACTTCTATTCTTTGCTATATTTACGAAAACTCAACCATAGTTATATATATGTCACATAATTAGCTCATGAGAAGCACGTGAGTTGTTTAAACTAAAGAAAACTACATCTTAACTTTACTTTCAACAGAGTATAGCATTGATTCATTCGATGTCTCATACAAATGGAGGGTTAAAAGGAAGTATATGATCGATATGTTCAATTGAGGAATGAATTGGTTGACGTTTAGTTTCACTACTTTTATTTCATGTAAATAGCTCATGTGGCTCCAAACTCACTTGTAAGATCACACTGAGTATGTTGTTCACGTGCTTTCGACGAGCCAATTTCATCAAAGATATATGTACTACCATGTGTTTTTTCTAATAAAACAATGACCAAAAGTGTTCAATTTTGATAATATAAAGAACTAAAATAGCTTAATTGTATATTTAAAAGGACTAGTTTAAACTAACCTTAAACATAAATAACTTTTATGTCCTTTTCTAGTATATACTATTCATAAAGAATTGGGAACCAGCCCAAGTCCAAGATATAAACACAGAGATTTTGAGACCAGCCTAGATCCAACTTACTTTGTGTATATCATATTTCAAAAGTCAAAAGTCTTGTCTTAAAGCAAAAGCTAGTGGCAAAATTTTGTTTCTACATGTTGGCCAAACACGGTTGTGATAGAGTCGTAAGTATTTTATTCTTAAGATTTAATGATAAAAAATATATTTGAATTATTGTTTTTTCCTGAGTTTCACGTTTCAACTATAAGTTGTTACTTTTTCTTATCTAAACTATCACCATCCATTCATTCATGTGTGTTTCAATACGTAGGTGATCATAGTTCAGATAGAAAAATGAAACAACAGGTGATAATTCAAATAGATAAAGAGAACAACGGCTAGTTTGAGTGTGAAACTCGATACAATAATATTCTAGGTGTGTGTTTTTCCACTCTACTCTTAACTAGAGATTTTCAATTCAGCTTTAGATATACAATTTATTATTAAACAATAATTTACTTGAGCGATCACCATGTATATGTGTGTTAATGCATAGGTGGTGATAGTTCAAGTAGGAAAATGGAACAATCTGGTGATAGTTCAGATAGGAAAGAGAAGAGATTAGAGTTAAACTGAGAAACTTGTGATCAAAAGTGATAATTCACGTGTGTGTCTTGACCACTATCTCTTCTCTTAACTAGAGATTTTAGATTCGAGCTTCAAATATGAAATTGTCTTTATTAAACAATAAATTAACTTTCCGACTTAATCACACTCCAATATCGATATCACACACTAAATGAAAACCTATAACAAAAAAAAAAAAATCAAGAATGGTGGTGGGTCACTCTCACTACTCACCCCCACAATCCTCCCATGACAATTGAGTAGCAAAGTAGGTGTATGTAATAGGATGATCCCTACACCATTAATGACTCCTCACTAGTTCCAAAATTTCCAAAATTTCACACACCCTGGAATCTCACTTTCACAGCCCAAAATCCAAAATCACAAAAAAATGACAACACCAGGAGAAAAGCTACAAGAAATTCAACCTCAAACTCACAAAATGCAAAAATCCCAACTTTACTTCAATCCATTGAAGACCCTCTTCTTCTTGCTTCTTTTCAGCCATGCCCAGATGAGATTTTGTTCTGGGGTTTCAGTTCTTGACCTTAAATCAGTTAAAGATAGTAACTTTAACCTAATGGGGAAAAGGGGTTGTTCAGAAAAGCTTCAAGAATGCTCAGAAATGGTGGGTGAAGAAGATTTGATGGATTCTGAAAGTAATAGAAGGGTTTTGCTTATGCAAAAGAAGTACATTAGTTATGGTACATTGAAGAGGGATTTGGTGCCTTGTAATACTCCTGGTGCTTCATATTATAATTGTAAAGCTCCTGGTGCAGCTAATAATTACAACAGAGGATGTGAGATTATTACAAGGTGTGCTAGGGAGGTCAGTGACATCAAATCTTGAATTTTTAGCTGAGAAATTTTATGCAATGGAATTGGTAAAAAAGTTCTATTTCTGCTTTTTTGAATATTGATTTAGTTATGTTTGGGACTTGTGGGGGTGGTTGTTTTTTTGTTGCTAATGTTGTATACTAATATAAAAATTAATGTAACCAATGTTGCTAAATATATTTTTTTGGTTCTATGTATATTATGCTCCCAATCTGTTTCTATGCATTATGAAGCATTGTTTTGTCTGGATATTTTTTGGCTGCTATAGTGAAATGTGTTCATAGCATGAAAAATCGGTTCTTGAAAGAACTTTACCGTTATAGTGAAATGTTGGTATAGAGGATGATACTAAAAGGAGCAGTAAGGCATTTAGGGTCTCAAATTTATTTGGATGTTAATCATACGAGCAGGGGAACTTTAAGCAAAGTCAAGTTCTGATCTTTCACACATTTAGTATTCTTTGTAATTTCGTTTGATCCACAAGATTGACTTCCATTTGTTAACGATACGATGATTTCTGTTGTGTGTTACGTGCAAATTTGTGTTGAGCAGAGTCTTATATCTTTTCTACCGCTCTTTTGAGAAACAAAAGATGATTCTTTATGTATTATTATGATGTTGAGCTTCCATTACAAACTTCCACATCAGTTTGAATGTTTTTAGGCTATGATATAAAGAGAGGTTTAGCATTGTGTCTAGGAGAATGCCATGTCCGTATGTCTCTGATGCGTCAATTTTCGAGTAAGTGATTTGTCTCTAATATACTTTAGATGTATACTGAGAGGCCAACGGGTAGAATTTTGGGGAATGCTAATAGTCAAGAAGGTAAGGCTATTGTGTATCCTCTATTGGTTTGGGTGCTTGTCTATGGAGTACGTATTTTGTGGAAATGACGTGAAGTGGATGCCGTATAAGACTTTCTTGAGTAACATTTTAGAAAGGGGAGGTGTGCAGGGAGCGCAGAGCGAAGCACCTGTGTGAATGAAAACTAAGGAAGAAAATACTAGAAAAGAGATTAACATGGTGCTTAGGAAAGATCAGTAGTAGTCCAATAATGACAAGAAATAATCCTTCAATGAGGATGGTTCTTCTATATATGGTTTCTCTTCTTTCATTATAATCTTTTGGAGCTGGGGAGGGTGGCGGCATTTGCTGGTTTCTGTAGGTGTATTATCAGCACGACTGATCAAAGAAACATTAAGAAGATTTGCACTACTGGAAAAATAACAAACCTTTATGATCATCCTAAAAGAATTAGTTGAGGCTTGAGTAGTTTCCTGCAATATTCAGTTCATTAGCTTTACCTTCAACCATTAGGAAGCTGATATCCTTCATTTTTGCAGAATTATCTACTAGTTTCCACTTTCTATGTCAATTGTCAGTATTGATGATACAGAACTAATGTCTATCTATCTTTGCTAAAAGATGTCAAGAAAGCTTTGCAGTTGTCGTTATCATGCATAAAACAGATGGTTTTTTAGAAAGTGTAGTTTCTTCATTGCTTCAACTCATCTAGTCTTCTCGGCTATGTAAGGAGTTCTTGTTACATCCACGCGCTGTGAAGACATTCCTTTTTCTTGGAACGAATCGTCTTTATTTGTGTAAACTCTGGTAAAGATTTGCTTGTTTGATGTACCAGAAATGTGGAAAGGTTGAAATATACAATGCACTTGCTGCAATATGTTAGATAAAGGTCCTCTTCTGATTCAACCCAGCCCCCTAAGGGAGCCCGGCACACTGGCCCGGAGTGGCTGGGTGGGTTGGGCTTGTCCCGGCCCTGCCCGCTTGCCACCCTTATACTGGATTTCTTTAACTTTATATTCCCATCTGGTTGGAGTTATTTTGTTTAATTTTTAAATAGAGACAAAGTATTTGAAGCATAAACTATTCATACTAACACCAACAGACAGAAGTAGATCATCTTCTTCTTTTTTCCTGATATGTCTCACAAAATAATAGTTCTTTATTCAGTGGACCAACTAGTTACTATATCTCGAAACTCAGCGGAGACAAAACGTACTAGGTGATTTCCTTGCACCCCCTAAACCGTGGCGGGTAGAGTTACTGGTACATGTGTTTGTGGGAGGTAACAGTTATCCGATGAATAATTCAGCGGGGAATCTTTGCAGTAAATTTTGAATCTACAGAGGAAATAATTTCATTTTTTTTACTTTATCCAGAAAAGTTATAATAGTAGTAGTACTATATTCATATACATTAATTAGCAGAATAAATGCATGCATACTAGTAGAGGAATTATTAATATCTATACTGACATAGCTCTATTTGGATTGGTGGAAAGTAGAAAAAGAAACTAGTAGACCTAATTAATGTAAAATGTTTTTCACATCCATGATATCTAGATTTTATCATAAGGTACCTATTAATAGTATATGATAAGGTAAAAGGAAAATTTAAAATATTTCTTTTCTTTTATTTTAGCCAAGGGTAAAGAAAGTGGATATAAAGTAAATTTCCCCTTTTATTCCAATATCTTGTTATCCTTAGTCGAGAAGGGAGGGGAACTCGACTCTGACTCTTCTATTACATTTACAAGAATCGTCAATGATCAATCCACGTCCTTAGCATAAAGCGCGACTTGCTTAGCATCGAAAGCTAGTATAATTTTCTCTTTTCTAGAGAAACAAGATTTGACTTATCTTTTGCAAAACTAAGAATTAAAGGAAGTGATGATGTAAGAACAATTTTAACCCACCAAAGTACAAACACTATAACACATGGTATAACACCTCAGAGCAATTGATTTTAGCTCCCGTTTGGCCAATTTTGAAGTTGAAATTTGAAAATTTGAGGCTTTGACGTTGTGATTTTTGGAATTTGAAGTTATACTTGGACATGCATTTTATTTGAAATTTTTTTGAAGTTTTGAAAGTGGAAGTCCTGAAAGCACACTTGAAAATAGTTGAAGATCCTAACAGATATTTGAGGATGAACTTTCAAAATGTATAGTCAAACGCTAGCGCTACAATTTGAATGGATAAAAACTAGAAATGTTACTTCAATATCCTCAAAGAAAAACATAAACAAAAACCAAAGGAAAACAGAATCAAAGCATAAAAAGAGAAAACATCATGCTATAAGATTGTGTGTTTTTCCAGTCTCACTTTGTCTTTCTCCTTAGTACCTGTAGTGAGCAGGCTTGTAAGGACCCTCAACTGGTACACTAATGTAATCAGCTTGGTCCTTGGAGAGCTTAGTGAGCTTGACTCCGAGCTGTCCGAGATGAAGGGCAGCAACCTTCTCATCGAGGTGCTTTGGCAAGACGTACACCTTCTTCTCATACTTGCCACTTGCCTTCTCCTTCCACAACTCAAGCTGAGCAATGACTTGGTTAGTGAAAGAGCACGACATGACAAAACTGGGGTGTCCAGTAGCGCATCCCAAGTTCATGAGACGACCCTCAGCTAAGACAATGATGCCACTCTTGGTGTCGGGGAAGACCCATCTGTCAGTTTGAGGCTTGATTGTGATTCTCTTCACTCCAGGGTAGGTCTCAAGACCAAGCATGTCGATTTCATTGTCAAAGTGGCCAATGTTGCAGACAATGGCATTGTTCTTCATCTTCCTCATGTGGTCAACCATGATGATATCCTTGTTACCAGTTGTGGTAACAAAGATATCAATTTCGGAAACAACATCCTCGAGAGGAAGAACCTGGAGACCTTCCATAGTAGCCTGGAGAGCACAGATTGGGTCAATCTCAGTCACAATCACACGCGCACCTGCTTGCTTCATTGCAGCAGCACAACCCTTGCCAACATCACCATAACCGGCAATAAGGGCAACCTTCCCAGCAATCATAACATCAGTAGCCCTCATGAGTCCATCGGGCAGTGAGTGGCGACATCCATACAAGTTGTCAAACTTGAGTACACACCAAGACAAAAAAATTCATCAAGTCAATTAGCTTGATGTGATAATTCAAAACTATAACAGAAAATTAGAATTCTATGATTGGAAAAATGTTCACTTTAAGCTATAAAATAAGAGGAATATCAAATTTACCTCAAGAAAATGATGAATGTTTATTTCTCCCACATATCAAATGAGTTAAAGATACAACTAAACATGAACCTATAGATCAAGACTCAAATTCAACAATAACTATAGATTTAATGTTGAACCTCAACAAAGAAAAGTCAACAACAACATGCTAAGTATAATCCCACGAGTGAGGTCTAGTAGGGTAGACTCAACGAACGGAGCTAGAATTTCGATGTCAAAATATAAAAAAGTAAAATCGCGTACAAGTCAACAGTGTCAATATGTAATATATACTATTACCTAGCTACACAATGTAAATTTCCGAGACAAAAGGGTGTATGTGATCTACCTCGATGGGGAGGTTGTTACCAATAGACCCTCAGCATAAGTAAACAATTTGAAAGAGGTGGACAACGACGAAATAATGTGAAACAGAGAGCATTACACAAACAGTAACGATAACGAAATAATGCAATAATCGGAGCACAAAAAGATACCTTGCTCTTGGTGACAGAGTCATTAACATTAATAGCAGGGAAAAGCAAAGTTCCATTAGCCTGCATCTGATACAATCTCTTAACACCAGTAGTAGTTTCTTCCGAAACACCAACAAGTCTCTCCTTCATCTTCGTATACTTTAACGGATCGCTTTTCAACCCATCCTTAATAATAGTAAGCACAAGCTGAAATTCAACATTATCAGTAGAATGAGGATCTGGAAATTTACCAGTTTTCGCGTATTCCTCTTCAGCTTTAACACCTTCATGAATCAACAATGTAGCATCACCACCATCATCAACAATCAGATCGGGTCCACCACCTGGACCCCAATCAAGTGCCCTCTCCGTACACCACCAATACTCCTGCAATGTTTCCCCTTTCCACGCGAAAACGGCGGCGCTGTCACGCGCTGTCGCAGCAGCCGCGTGATCTTGCGTTGAGAAAATGTTGCAGGAACACCATCGAACTTCAGCACCCAATGCAGTGAGAGTTTCGATTAGGACAGCGGTTTGGATCGTCATGTGTAAACTTCCGGTGATTTTTGCACCTTTGAATGGCTGTGATGGACCGAATTCAGTACGACAAGCCATTAATCCAGGCATTTCGACTTCGGCTAGCTCGATTTCGAGGCGGCCGAAATCGGCCTGGGACATGTCCTTGACCTTGTACTCGCGGCCCGAGGTGGT